TACTATCTACAACAATATCATTATGCTTAAAATTTTTTTTTAAAAAAAAAAATTGTATATATCATTTACAGGTGATAATTTAGGATTTATGTGATAAATCAAATCATCAAAAAGGGTTTATAATTATATTAGAATCTCACATCGGGATCTCACACCCACTAAGTGTGGTACTTAAGCATAAGGGCTTTCCCACCTATTAGGTCGATCTTTTGGGTTGGGTTTTTCATTGGGCTTAAATTCTAACATTGGTGATTTTCATCGAGAGTTAGATTGCAGAAAGGGCTACCTATAGACTAGATTAAGGTACAATGTGCATCGAATAACTGATAGGTGAGTGAAGCCATCCAAAGGAAAAAAGGGCTACCATCGGGTCAGTGTCGATAGAGTGAAAGCCACTATGGACGTCAACTTTTGAAGGGAGTGCAATGTTAGGATCTCACATCGGGATCTCACACCCACTAAGTGTGATACTTAAGCCTAAGAGCTCTCTCACCTATCAAACCGATCTTTTAGGTTAGACTCTTGGGCTTAAGTTTTAACAAATTTTAATTAAAAATGTTCAAATTGCATAAAAAGTTTACTTAAACCATAACAACTCAGGAAATATATAAGAAAATATCTCATTATATGTCATTGTAAACATAAATAAAAAAAAGGTTTCCATGGATTCTCAAGTCTTTTAGACTCGTAATTAAGTCTAACTTGTTGGTAAATAGATAATAAGTTCACTAAAACACTATTAAACTTCCTGCATTATTGGCTGGTTTATTTATTTACTACGTTATTTATGATTTGTACTTGGAATTTGTTTGCATTTGAAGTTTGAAGTGGGTAACATTAAATATTAAATTTGGATAAGAAAAGGACAACATTTCCCAAAAAAAAAAAAAAAATTTGGCAACACCGACAACAAGAAAAATAGAACTGTAAATAAAACTAAAAGGACAAAAACATACAGTATAAAGGGGGTCGTTTAAAGTCCTGTGCATAAAGACGATATTTAATGCGGCCACAAGAAAATCTGTACATTGACTAGAGGGGACCAGGGGAATCTGCTAAATAAAAATCGAGTAAACGACTCTTTCCCACCTAAAAAATATCTTAATGACCCTTTTCCACAACTTTTAAAATCCAACTTTCTCACTTAAAATTTAAATCTATTAGTAATTTTTGTTGTAAAGAAGGACAAGATAGTTAAAAGCTAGTTGAAAGAAAGGACAAAATGATTATATTGTTGTTTTGATTGGAGACATTTTCAAACCTGTTAAGGCCAAAAATCATCCTTGGCCAAATAGAAAAACGAGACCGAATGAGGAAGAGACCAGGCCTAATCCCAATGTGGTCCAATTCGGATTAGGCCCATCTGGTACGAGATATTGTTGGCCCAAACCATCCGAGCCTAAGCCCCCTAATCTCAGTCCACTTCCTTAACCTATGAGCGAATTCAAAGCCCATGGACATTCACAAATCACTTTCCTATTCGAGATCACTTTCTTGTTCGAACATTGGTAAGACAGCTCACCACCGCCCTAATTCCTCTAGAGTCCATGTTAGAGTCGCACTAGGATTCCCTCTCATGCCAAGATAAGGGGATCAAAGGGCGTATTCCTAAAGGAAAGGGATTGCTACGAGAACTCCCAATCCTACCAGGATGGGGAGACCAGACAGTCACTATATAAAGAGAGGCCAACCCTCTCACAAGGTACATTACATTACACCTTCACACCCGGAGTTCCTACTTGAGAACTTTACATCACCGCCGTAGTCACAGTCCCCGACTAGACTTTTGGTAACCTTTCTACCCCTTAGCCCTCACTAAATTAGCCTCTTTCAGCCTTGCTGACTTGAGCGTCAGAGTGCCTACGACAAACACTACCCCGATGTTTTCCGTCGCTTCACATTTGTTTCTCTACATGTGCAGGTACAACGGATCTAGTGGCTTCAACCTCACGGGATCAGACCCTCCTTCTGTACAGATAGATTTTTACGTCTACAAAACCCTAATCGCCAATTTAGACAGTTTGGCATGATTCTGGCGCCGTTGATCAACACCCCCCCCCCCCTCCCCCCCCCAAAAAAAAAAAAGTAACTCACCCATGGATAGCCTAACGGTAAAGGTGAACTAGAGGGTTGTGTATGACTTTAACTCACAATCCCACATTCGATTACCTACCAGGCGAAGGTAATTTAGAGGACTTTTGTATATTATAAATGGGGCAGGATGAATAATCCCACATATTTCACACAAATTATGACTTTAATGTTTTAGCTTTGGATTTAGGAATTTTGAGTTGGGATTTCATATAATATAACCCATTTAATATATGTTGGAAAGGACATAATTTATATGTGATTTCAATCATTAATTATAAAAAAGAAACTTCTAAGGTTATTGAACCTTTCAATGACCATTGGATAAATAATAAAATAAATGTATGATATGTGGTGTTAAATAAGTAAAGCAAGTCTACATCGTGCACAAAAATTAGACATGTCAAGTGGTTCATTGCGCGTGCACGACTTTCTTTTCTATAAGCTTTGTTCCATTATCATTTTGCGGGGTATCATTTATAGCTTGAAAATTGTAGATGATAAAAAAAAAAACCAAAACTAGAAGCATCAATGAAAAAGATGGTTTATATATATTACATTCATGTCCCTTTCATAATAGTTAGTTGAAATAGATTTGTTGAGTAACCCATTTGACACAAAAGACTAAGAATATTAATTTTTATTGTTTAAATTGATCTCTTATGTGATACATGAATCTGATTTTTAAGTTATAATAAATCCAAAGAGAGATTGGATCATAAATCCAATTTTTAAGGTCTAATTGTTCCGGTGCGAGACCAACTTGAGATTGCAATTAGAATGATTGGTTGATTGACTTTATACTAATTCTCAATCGGGGCTCGGGTAAATGCCCCTGGTCACGAGCTGCTTTCAGTGAGATTTGAACCCTTGACATTACATGTAAAGTTCGCCCACTAAGAATTCAGTTAATAGTTGGACCACAACTCGTGGTTTAACCTAAAAGCTTAAAGTGATAAGACTCCAACATTTTTTTTTTTTTAATGATTGGAATGTTCGAGCTACTTTGAGCGTATCTCAACTAATCTTCGAGACTCATTGAACACTTTACAAATCTAATATTCTAAGGTAAACCACAAATATGATAGGTGATCCCAATGTGGTATGATCCCATAAACTCAATGGAGGGAGCAAATTGACTCCAACATGAAGGGAGCAAATTGACTCAAGATTGGGATATTGGTGATTGATGGAGTGAGTTGATAAATCGAGAAATGAGTTATCTGTGGTGGTTGATTTGTGAATAATAATAAGAGACATGTGAGGACACAATATTAATGTTCAAGTAATTGCTAAACGATTTTAGTGATTATTTCTGTAATTAAATGTTTTTATAAAATATTCCCATGTGTATTGCAATTTAATAAAACAAATATATATTTTTCTTTTTTCTTTTATTTATTAAGAAACAACTCAATATCATCCTTAGACTAACCAAGAAAAAGTATATATTTTGGGATATAAAATTGATTGCTTCAATTTGTAGAATGTCCTGCTTCACCCTATTATTTATTTATTATATAATGATATAGGAGAAGCACATTCTAATATCAATTAGGGGTTGTTTGGATCGGGGGTAAATAAGATAACATGAGTAATCTTCGTTTATTTTGCAAGATTCTTGTGTTTAGTTTGCAAGTAATAAAATATTACAGGAATCTTTTATTGTAAATAGTGTTTACTATTGGTAATGTGGGGGATACTCTTATTACCTTGCTAGGGGATGCTATTAAAACATTATCGGGGTAATATGATTTTTCTATCCATTTTGCCCTTAATTAAAAACCATTTTAGACTCAATTGCCCTCAAATGTCTACCAAATAACAATTACCCAGACCCCCTATATTTGAGAAATTAGCCAAAACATCCCAGCTACTAAAAAGTTTAAAAGTTAAAAAAATACTCCCAACCACCCAAGACCATCACCGGTTGTGACTAACCACCGACGTCAGTTGTCATAATGGTGCACGACCACCCTCAAATGGCATGGCCAGATTTGTGACCGTTTCACGACCACATCTTTGGCCGTGAAATGGCCATAGATTTGGTCGTTTTCCAGCCATGGATTTGTGATTCATGGCTATTTTCGATTTTTCCGACACACGACCAGCCATATATAGTCAGACGTGCGCCATTCTGTCGACTATCGACGACGGCCGATGGTGGTGCTGGCTATCGATAGTGGCTTGGGGTGGGTGGGGGTGATTTTGCTACAAATTAAAGTTTTATATAGCTGGGGTGTTTTAGCAAAATTTCAAATATAGGGGGTTAAAAGGAAAAATTCAAAAAATAATAATAAAAAATATTATTATATTAATATTTAAAAAGGAGGGCAATTTAGTAATCTATATAACATACCCACCTATTTATCCTCCAAACCAAATATATTATTCACCAATTTATTCTAACCAATCAAACACATTTTCTAAACATTCTCAATAATTTTCAGGGTGATCTTTCTTTCTATTAATTTAATACACCCATATAATAAAGCATTATTGATGCAAACGTCTCCTCAGTGAATACCTTTGACTTTCTAACTATTATTTTATTTTTAAATTTTTCTTTATGATTTTTTGATCAATTTTTAAGCAATCTCTCTTGATTTTTAATATAAGAAACTTCCTTTTAACCCAATTAAGAATTAAATAAATAAATTTTACCCTAATTCTTGTAAAATATAAATCAATTGGTGCATATGTAGTGGTTCATTGCGCGCGCATGAATTTCTTTTCTATAAGCTTTGTTCCATTATCATTATGCGGGATATCATTTATAGCTTGAAAATTATTTGATTATCAAAAGAATTTCATTATCATTATACCTAGGGCTTGAACACAGCTTCACCCCTGGTTGCATATATAAATATGCATACTCTATAGTTCATATTTTGTCAAGCACTATACAATTGTACAAAAACTTAGACAAATCAAGCAAACACTTTCATTGTTAATTAATTTCAAGGAGGTGTATTTGCAAAGTTTTTCAAAATGATAGGATGGGAAGATATATACAAAGTGGTGGTAGCCATGGCTCCCCTCTATGTTGCATTAATTTTAGGGTATGGCTCAGTGAAGTGGTGGCACATCTTCACACGTGAGCAGTGCGACGCCATAAACCGTTTGGTTAGTTTCTTCACGATGCCCTTGTTCACTGTCGAGTTCACAGCTCACATCGATCCATTCCAAATGAATTATCTCTTCATCGGAGCAGACGCAATCTCGAAGCTTATAATCGTCGTGGTGCTCGCCTTCTGGGCAAAGTGTAGCAGCAAAGGGAGCTATTGCTGGTCCATCACGAGCTTCTCTTTGTGCACTTTGACGAATGCTCTCGTCGTCGGGGTGCCTTTGCTGAAGGCTATGTATGGCCAAATGGCTGTCGATCTTGTGGTGCAAGCCTCGGTTATTCAAGCCATCATTTGGCTGACATTTTTGCTGTTTGTTTTGGAGTTTCGGAGGACATACACAGGAACTTTCACTGCTTCAAATTCAAGAGTCGAGGATGCTGAGGAAGATGTGGAGGGAAGTTCAAGTGATGAGACAAGTAGCTGGCCATCTTTTTGGTTCTTAATGAAGGTTGTGTGGCTGAAACTAGCCATGAATCCTAATTCCTATGCCTGTATTGTTGGCATTGCTTGGGCTTTTGTAGCCAACAGGTGAGCAAATTAATATTTGGTTTTTTGTTGAAACTTTTCTGATGTGACTGGAAATTCTCAGGTCAGTACAGACGACGTGTTTTTCTCTAAATCGGAACATCTGATTTATGTAACTCTTTTTAGGTGGCACTTTGAGATGCCAAGCATCATGGAAGGATCTATTCTTATCATGTCTAGAGCTGCAACAGGCACTGCCATGTTTAGTATGGGTGAGATTCTTGATTTGTCTCATAAACTCAAATATTAAAAGAAAATTATATATAACGCTGAAAGTCTTAAATTTTAATTTCTTTTGTTATGGAAAATATTAAATATTAATGGGAATATTTTGGATACATATATATTTGCAGGGATCTTCATGGCTTTGCAAGAAAAGTTGATAGTTTGCGGGCCTAGCTTGACTGTATTTGGAATGGTTTTAAGGTTCATAGCTGGACCAGCAGCCATGGCTATTGGTGCTATTGCTATGGGTTTGCATGGTGATGTTTTACGCGTTGCTATTATTCAGGTAATTTATTTTATATAAATTATTATTATACCATAAGAAAATAACTACAATACAGGTATTAGTAAAAGCTATCGATTCTAAAACTATTCTTTTATTTATTTTTTAAATATAATATTTTAATCTAGTATATATAAATATATCATTGAATTAATATCGTAATATGAGCCTTTTTAAAATCATCATACCTAAAGATGTCAAATGAGTCAATATAAACATTAATTTACATGTATATTTTGTACATACACTATGCTAATGTTGTGCTACTTTAATAAAAATTATTATTTCACATGTAATATATTCAACCATATAATTTAATATTATATGAACCAATTTGACTGATTTGACACCTCTAATATTTTCTATTTAAAAGCCATAAACTTGAAAATAACAACAAACAGTTGTAAAAACATATTTGTGGGATCTTATGTCACTTATTTTAATACTTAATGAATTTGCTTTAAGACTTAATTAGAGACAACACAATGGACATTACGTTGGCACATGCAATTGTTTAATTAATTAAAAATATATGTGGTCGATTATTAATTATATGTATATATTTATGTTGTTGCAGGCTGCACTGCCACAATCCATTACATCCTTCATCTATGCTAATGAATATGGACTCCATGCAGATGTGCTTAGCACTGCGTAAGTTAATGCTTTATTTATTAATTTACTTATCGAAACATTTTCATCAAACAAAAACGTTTTTTATTTATTTCCCTTGAGATTTGACCTACTTATAAATATACAGGATTAAATAAGAGATATATCAAAATCAACATATATATTTCTCGTATAATTTTAATTTTTTTTTGTTGATTTAATGCGGCTTATCATTTTATACTCATCTAGCTAATAAATCTTAATATCTTACGATCACAATATATTTATTTATATTATTAAAAAATAATAGTATGTAAGATCGATTTATTTATACAAATGACATAATATGTTCGTTTTAATTAAATTTACGATGATTTTTAAAATATATTCATATGTAATTTTATCGATATTCTATAGCATAAAATTAATGCAACCTTTTGAGGTATGAAAATTTTATCTTTTATACACTTTTTTTGCAGGGTAATCTTTGGCATGATAGCATCACTTCCAATTTTGATTGCATATTATGCAATTCTGGAGTTTGTACATTAATCCTTCAATCAGAATTTTGAAGAAAATTAAGAAGGGTCGACAGAAAATAATATGCTGCCTTGGCCCTCTCAGTATATCTCTTAAAAAAAAAAAACTAGTGGAAATTATTCAAAGCCAAATAGAGATTTCTGCTATTCGCTGTATAAATCTTGATCACAAATTGATCTAGAAATTAGTTACAGTTTTATATTTCTCTCGGACAATTTTTTTCCCTTTTGTTTTATGCTATACTTCATCGTGTAACTTCAAATTTAATCACCCTAATTGATACCAAGTCATTATCGTATTAATTAATAAATTTTTAACTTAAACGATACTATAATTCTTCTCTCATAATAAGTAATATACTCTATATATATATACACCATTATTTGAATGGGAAAAAGTCTGTTTACTCTTTAAGTTTATTACTAAATCAAAATCTGAATTGATGCCTCTACTTCTTATACATTAATCTCATTCTTGTCCCTCTAATAGAAATTATAATTTACTGTGCCCTAAAATTTATTTTATTTGTTTCTACAAAATGGGATTATTGATGAGTTAATTTTATGATATATTTTGTTTGGCATATTGACATTGATGATGGATGGTGGCTGTGATGGAATCAAAACTAAATGCAGAATATATGCTAGTAAAGAATTAACTGGTATCAAATAATCAAGTCAAAATTTACATAAACAAGCCTAAGCAATTTAATTTTCATAAAATGATAGAACAAAAGATGGTGATGGAGAAGATTACTAAAAGGGACAAACATGACTTTCTAATTGGGTGAGGAGTTAGGCCCAAAAACCAACTAAATGTTATTAAAGCCAACCCCATTTGAACTGAGTGATTGACTAGCGGTGGGCTGCAAACTACCTCCATTCATAGGCAGGTGGACCATGTGAGCTTGACTATGAGGAGGAGTGTTAGAGTCCTACATCGATCAGACACGTTCAAGCCTACTAGTTTATAAGAGGGAGTAATCCTCCCATTCAACAATGTTTTATTGGGTGAGGAGTTAAGCTTACCTCAAATTCTATCATGATATCAGAGCTCAGATTCAGTTGAGTTGAGTACTTGACTAACAGATGAGTGAAAAGTTAAAACCGACAACTACCTCCAATAACAGGCATGACCCAACATATAAACTTGACTGTAAGAAAGAGTGTTAGGGCTCCACACCGATTAGGTGCGTTTCACTGGACCCCACCTAAATCTCTCTTTCTTTCTTTGACTTGCCTTGCTTACCTAATCTTAAAAGAAAATAAAGAAGAAAAAAAACTCTAGAAAATTACAATCTCGCCCCTTCCCCTCCCCCTCGCCCCCAACTAACGAACAACTAATAATCTTTTCAATTTCACTCCTCCATCAAAATCAACGAACAACTAATAATCTTTTCAATTTCACTCCTCCATCAAAATCAAATATATAAAATGAGATTTCACGTTGTTGTGTGCCAGATCTAAGCAAGTCTTGAAGAAGAAGAAGAAGAAGACTCTAGCCAGAGATCTCCATCTCTCTCTCTTCGCCTCTGTTGCTTCACGAGGAAGCTGAGTGTATCTTGTGGTGGTTGATTTGTGAATAATAATAAGAACATGTGAGGACACAATATTAATGTTCAAGTATTGCTAAAACGATTTTAGTGATTATTTCTGTATTAAATGTTTTTATAAAATATTCCCATGTGTATTGCAATTTAATAAAACAAATATATTTTTTCTTTTTTCTTTTATTTATTAAGAAACAACTCAATTCATCCTTAGACTAACCAAAAAAGTATATTTTTGGGATATAAAATTGATTGCTTCAATTTGTAGAATGTCCTGCTTCACCCTATATTTTATTTATTATATAATGATATAGGAAACCATTCTAATATCATTAGGGGTTGTTTGGATCGGGGGTAAATAAATAACAGAGTATCTTCGTTTATTTTGCAAGATTCTTGTGTTTATTTTTGCATAATAAAATATTACAGGAATCTTTATTTGTAAATAGTGTTTACTATGGTAATGTGGGGATACTCTTATTACCTTGTAGGGGATGCTATTAAAACATTATCGGGGTAATATGATTTTTCTATCCATTTTGCCCTTAATTAAAAACATTTTAGACCATTGCCCTCAAGTCTACCAAATAACAATTACCCAGCCCCCTATATTTGAGAAATTAGCCAAAACATCCCAGCTACTAAAAAGTTAAAAGTTAAAAAAATACTCCCAACCACCCAAGACCATCACCGTTTGTGACTAACCACCGACGTCAGTGCATAATGGTGCACGACCACCCTCAAATGGCATGGCCAGATTTGTGACCGTTTCACGACCACATCTTGGCCGTGAAATGGCCATAGATTTGGTCGTTTTCCAGCCATGGATTTGTGATTCATGGCTATTTTCGCTTTTTCCGACACACGACCAGCCATATATAGTAGACGTGCGCCATTCTGTCGACTATCGCGACGGCGATGGTGGTGCTGGCTACGATAGTGGCTTGGGTGGTGGGTTATTTTGCTACAAATTAAAGTTTTATATAGTGGGTGTTTTAGCAAAATTTCAATTAGGGGGTTAAAAGAAAAATTCAAAAAAATAATAAAAAATCTTATTATATTAATATTTAAAAAGGAGGCAATTTAGTAATCTATATAACATACCCACCTATTTATCCTCCAAACCAAAATATTATTCACCAATTTTTTTCTAACAATCAAACATTTTCTAAACATTCTCAATAATTTTCAGTGATCTTTCTTTCTATTAATTTAATACACCCATATAATAAGCATTATTGATGCAAACGTCTCCTCAGTGAATACCTTTGACTTTCTAACTATTATTTTATTTTTAAATTTTTCTTTATATTTTTTGATCAATTTTTAAGCAATCTCTCTTGATTTTTAATATAAGAACTCCTTTTAACCCAATTAGAATTAAATAAATAAATTTTACCCTAATTCTTGTAAAATATAAATCAATTGGTGCATATGTAGTGGTTCATTGCGCGCGCATGAATTTCTTTTCTATAAGCTTTGTTCCTTATCATTAGGCGGGATATCTTATAGCTTGAAAATTATTGATTCAAAAGAATTCATTATCATTATACCTAGGGCTTGAACACAGTCACCCCTGGTTGCATATATAATATGCATCTCTCTAATTCATATTTTGTCAGCACTATACTTGTACAAAAACTTAGACAAATCAAGCAAACACTTTCATTGTTATTAATTTCAAGGAGGTGTATTTGCAAAGTTTTTCAAAATGTAGGATGGGAAGATATATACAAGTGGTGGTAGCCATGGCTCCCCTCTATGTTGCATTAATTTTAGGGTATGGCTCAGTGAAGTGGTGGCACATCTTCACCGTGAGCAGTGCGACGCCATAAACCGTTTGGTTAGTTTCTTCACGATGCCCTTGTTCACTGTCGAGTTCACGCTCACATCGTCCATTCCAAATGAATTATCTCTTCATCGGAGCAGACGCAATCTCGAAGCTTATAATCGTCGTGGTGCTCGCCTTCTGGGCAAGTGTAGCAGCAAGGGAGCTATTGCTGGTCCATCACGAGCTCTCTTTGTGCACTTTGACGAATTCCTCGTCGTCGGGGGTGCCTTTGCTGAAGGCTATGTTGCCAAATGGCTGTCGATCTTGTGGTGCAGCTCGGTTATTCAAGCCATCATTTGGCTGACATTTTTGCTGTTTGTTTTGGAGTTTCGGAGGACATACACAGGAACTTTCACTGCTTCAATTCAGAGTCGAGGATGCTGAGGAGATGTGGAGGGAAGTTCAAGTGATGAACAAGTAGCTGGCCATCTTTTTGGTTCTTATGAAGGTTGTGTGGCTGAAACTAGCCATGAATCCTAATTCCTATGCCTGTATTGTTGGCATTGCTTGGGCTTTTGTAGCCAACAGGTGAGAAATTAATATTTGGTTTTTTGTTGAAACTTTTCTGATGTGACTGTAATTCTCAGGTCAGTACGAAGACGTGTTTTTCTCAAATCGGAACATCTGATTTATGTAACTCTTTTAGGTGGCACTTTGAATGCCAAGCATCATGGAAGGATCTATTCTTATCATGTCTAGAGCTGCAACAGGCACTGCCATGTTTGTATGGGTAGATTCTTGACTTGTCTCCTAAACTCAATATTAAAAGAAAATTATCCTCCCTATATAGAAGATTCGTTAATAAGAATAATCTTATTTCCTATTTTGCAATGATAATATCTATTTCTTATTTTACAATGAGAATAATCTTATTTCCTATTTTCACTTCAACAATAACCCTGAAAGTCTTAAATTTTATTTTCTTTTGTTATGGAAAATATTAAATATTAATGGGAATATTTTGGATACAATATATTTGCAGGGATCTTCATGGCTTTGCAAGAAAAGTTGATAGTTTGCGGGCCTAGCTTGACTGTATTTGGAATGGTTTTAAGGTTCATAGCGGGACCAGCAGCCATGATTGGTGCTATTGCTATGGGTTTGCATGGTGATGTTTTACGTGTTGCTATTATTCAGGTAATTTATTTTATATAAATTATTATTATACCATAAGAAAATAACTACAATACAGGTTTAGTAAAAGCTATCGATTCTAAAACTATTCTTTTATTTATTTTTAAATATAAATTTTAATCGTATTATAAATATATCTGAATTAATATCGTAATATGACCTTTTAAAATCATCATACCTAAAGGTGTCAAATTATTGGCTGGTTTATTTATTTACTACGTTATTTATGATTTGTACTTGGAATTTGTTTGCATTTGAAGTTTGAAGTGGGTAACATTAAATATTAAATTTGGATAAGAAAGGACAACATTTCCAAAAAAAAAAATTTGGCAACACCGACAACAAGAAAAATAGAACTATATATAAAACTAAAAGGACAAAAACATACAGTATAAAGGTTGTGGTTTAAAGTCCTGTGCATAAAGACAATATTTAATGCGGCCACAAGAAAATCTGTACATTGACTAGAGGGGACCAGGGGAATATGCTAAATAAAAATCGAGTAAACGACTTCTCCCCACCTAAAAAGTATCTTAATGGCCCTTTTCCACTACTTTTAAAATACAACTTTCTCACTTAAAATATAAATCTATTAGTAATTTTTGTTGTGAAG